GCAGCAATAGATGAAGCCATTGAAGCTCTTCACCTGTCCCCAGCCCTGGAAGTTCTTCACGCGGCCATGGCAATCGCTGGAGATCAGACAGCACAGGTCACCCTTCTGTCGCGTTCCCACCTACGGCGACGTTCGACTGTCCCCTGTAAGTTGGCAAAGTGGACGCAGTTGGGAAAGCCTGAAAGATTTACAATCGGCATGGGCCAAAACCCTCTTTTTCTGTTCATGGTAGAAGGTGAAGAACAAGTATTTTGGTCATTTTGGTATTGACCCCTACCCAAATCCCCTGCCTTAGCTGCCTTAGCACTTCAATCTAACCACCTTTGAGCTTCAACCCTCACATTACATGCTACAGTACTATGCAATCTTCCTGCGAAGGCAGCCGTGCCTGCACCCATTCCACGGGATTGTTGGGATCTTCTGCATTTCGCACTGGCGTCCACATCTCATATTTCCTGAGATCTGCTCAACTGCTAACCACTGACCTGACCTCGACCCAACCAGCACAGCTTTTTGAGGCACGAGGCTGGGCAATCTCATCACCTGCGCCTGCTGCAATCCCAAATGTCTTAAAGCCCTTTCTTCCAGAGGAAAAAATACTTAAACACGGATCAATTATGACCTATGATAGAATGATTGAATCGAAGCATCTCAATTTGCATGTGTGTCAGCTTGAACCAAGATATCCTCAGGGGACTAAGCGCAACTCAGCGGCTTTTGACCGCCAGGAATGGCAGGATCGTGTGAACGGCCCTTAGGGCACACCTCGTACGCATAACCCAAGGCTTCGCCAGGTTGATTCGGCGGTGTGGGAAAGCATGTATGTTATCATCCAAATATGGGATTTAAATATCTATAGATATATATATATATATACATAGGGATATATATATATATATGAATATGTATTAATATATATATATATATGAATATATATGTATGTACATATTAATATATATGTAGGGCAGTCCCTATAAAATGATCCGTTGGCCAAAGGAACCATTTCGATGCGCAGATCTTCAGGGTGCAGTGGGATTGTGGATGCTTCGCCCAGCGTCACCTTTGACCATATGTGTCATGGTCAAGTTACATAGGATCTATGGTTTATGGCCATCCATCCCAAATTAGCAATCCTGAAAAAAAAATACTATATATAGTTATTTAGTTTATTTATTTACCTATGAAAATGGACTTGGAACTGGGTATACAATCCAACTATATAACTTGACCATGGCATCCAATTTTCTGGTACCCTATGTTATCCCTTCCCCGCAACTCCCAGGAAGTCATGGACCACGTGTGGGCCTTCTTGTAGTCGCAAAGCTTCTTCCCCTGTCGAGTGGCTTGGATGATTAAAGTTCTTACAACTGACAACTGCCATGATGTTCCCATGATATTCCCATGTCTCCATAAAATAGGTTTCTCCCCCGTGTCTGATGCTTAAAATGTGTTTGGATCAATATTCTTCATGCAGAAAAAAACACAGAAAAATCTGCATCTTGAGTCTCAACCCTCCAATTTTTGTGTGGGGGCTATCTTCTTTTGAACCATAGCCATCCATAGCCACGTCCCATGGCCGAGGCCCCAACGAGGCCCCAACGAGGCCCCAACGAGGCCCCCATCGCAGGCGCCTTGGCTCGACAGTGGTCGTCGGCCCTGTTCCAGGTGCCGTCTGGCCAGGTGTCGCTGGTCATCGGCACCTCCTCGATGGAGGAGAAGCCATCGGGATCCTCTCATGCCGGGTGCTGAGACCCGGAAGCATCGGGGGATTTCTGAAATGGGGAGAAGGGTCACCATGAACTGTCTGTGTTTTTGGGATCGAGTTGAGTTTTTGGGGGGTTAAGCCGGTTAAGCTTTGAAAATGTGGATGTTCCATGGCATCTCCCGTGACTGAAATCGCTGGTTTCACAGAAAATGAAGAGTTCAGCAAGAAAAGTTGGACTTTCACATAGAAATATGATATCTAGTCATCTAGTTGTTTATCCGCGATGGCTTTACATCCCCCAATGGAGTTACATCACAGTTTTCGTTTGGTTTCGGCCACTTTTCTTTTTGTCGCGGTGCTCCCCATGTTTGCTGGTGTTCTCCTCATGTTTGCTGCTTTCCTTCCCAATTCTTGCCAGTCAAATCCTTAATTCTCATTTTCGCTATTGAAATCCCAAATTCTTAGTCGAATCCCAATTGCTGGTGCAATCCCGAAATGTCTGAAAATAGGCCCCTCCTATTCCATGGATGATCCATCCGAAAGTCCAATGGACTATCCAATAAATTTCTGAAAATAGGGTACCCTCTGGTAAACTAACATAGCTATGGAAAATGGCCCATTTATAGATGGGTTTTCCCATCTAAAAATGGTGATTTTCCATGACGTTATTGTCAAATTACCAGAGGGTACCCCAAAATCCCATGGGATTCTCGTCATTTTTCGCATGAAATTTGCCGGGAGGACCTTCTGAGACTCCACCCGGATGAGTCCACGAATTTCTCCTCACGGGGGTGGGTTCGGGTGGTGGGGGTGCCTAGCGCACTGGGCTCAAGAGAAAGGGTAGAACTTATAACCATGGTACCAATCACCATGAATTGGATAAAACCCCTATATAACCATGGTTATTGATGATAATAATAATAATACCAATAATAATAATTATTATTATTATTTATTATTATTATTATTATTATATATATATATAGCTTTCTTGGAAGAAACTGTTCATATACTAAGCCCTTCTCAGGTGGTTATAATGTGGTTCTACATCTTAGATTCTTGGACAATATTTAAGTGAAATGAATATATATATATATAATATGTATAATGTTAATGCAGGATGAACAAACCCTCAGTCTGAGTCTATTCATAGGGGGAACCATGTTAACAGCAATTTATCACCATTTTGATGGTAACCCCCAATTGATAGTCAGGGTTGACACTAATCCGAGGTTAGTTGACCCCATCACTTCACCGGTTTGCAGAGCAGCCCGTCCATCACTTCCAACTGCCACATCCACGCTGAAGACAAGTTGGAAACTATAGCACAGCAAAGAAAAGGACCTCAGGTGGGGTTTCCGAAAATGGGAATAAAACAGGGATGGTTTATAATGGAAAATCCTATTATATAAAATGGATGATTTAGGGGTATGTACATCCATTTTAGGAAACCCCCAGATGGCAGGCCATTTATCTTGGATCCTCTGACCCAGGATCCAAAGTTCAGTTGAGTCTCCCAATCCCTCTCCGTTCCATCCTGTTTTGGATGCCGTTGAGAGGGTCAAGCAGCACTCAAAACCTGTGGTTTCTTGTTCCCAGCTCTGACCTTCCATCCCCCCATGGACCAAGGCACAACATGAGATGCATATGGATACATTTGACAACCTGAGCCCAACCTCCTGAAGGTCTTAAGCCCAAACGGCTCACAGATTGAAGGCGGTAGCGGCGGTGGCTGGGCTTGGGATCTTGGCCCTCATGTTCACATCAATCACCTTCACGGAAAACATCGACCCTGGCCGGAAACGAGTGCTATTGATGACTTCTTGGATCCCAAAGATCCAAAAAAACATCAAGAACTAACAACTTGGGCACCTTGGGTCGGCTCAATTCTCCACTTGGGATCGTCCGTAACATTCGAGCGCACGCGCTTAATGGCGTTTTGCTGATCCCAGTCGCACGGATCGACACTTTGGCCGTGACAAAAGTCCATCTCCATATGGCTACGGGTCAGTTCTCTCTGGTAGCAGGCCTTTTTGTTTCTCGGATTTTGGATGTGAGCCCTCCAAATAGCTCGTATTTCATAGGTGACTTCATCCATTTTCAGGAGATCTGAATGCTTTCACCATTGGTAGTCGGCTTCCTTGTAGATTTCATCATAGACCTCCGGCTCCTTTGGCTGCGGGTTGGCCAAGTCACCTGCGCGGGTCGGGATGTTCGGGATGGTCGGAGGGGTCAGAAATGATCTGCGACATCGACAAACCATCCCAAGCATGAACTACATTAATATATATATATATATATACATCATATATATATATATAAAGATATATATACACACACTATATATACACTATATATATATATACACAGTATATATATATGTATATACAGTATATGATTCTTGGCTTCTTCGCGGTCCCCAGCCCCACCATGTCATGTCGGCGCGTCGGACCTGGGGCCACTTTTTCGGCATAGCAGTTGGGCTCGACCTCGGGATCAAGGTGGTGATCAGCATAAAGATTCTGGCAAATGTCTATCTATCTCTATAGTCTACATATACATATACATATACATATGTATACATACATATATATATATATTCCAAAAAAAATATAATAATCGTAGATGGTGACAATATCTATATATATATATTTATAGATAGATAGATGTATATAGATATACCAAAAAGACTTGCTAATAACCATAGCAACGAAAAATAAATATAACAATCATGAGAAATAAATAACAATGTATATATATAATCATATATATGAAAGGCAAAAAATCAGCTATCCCATGGGTAATCCCAGTCACGGTCCCATTTTTTAGTGGATTGCTTCATCGTGGCGAATTCCCCAAATTTCCCATGGGATGAGCACCTGACGAGGTGTCTGACATGATCTGCTTGGTGGTTGACCAAGCCCTCTGAAAAATGATGGACTTAAAGTCAGTTGGGAAAATGAATATTCCCAATATATATATATATATATATGGAAAAATATAAAATTCATGTTCCAAACCACCAACCAGTCTTCAATCCAATCCAATCCAACATGTCCAATCCAACATATATCTTGAAGCCACACCTGACTAGGTCATCTGACAAGATTGGACATCCAATAAACTGCAATCGATTACACAGTCAACACTGAAAAGAAATGGATATCCATTGGCCCAATAATTCCTTGAAACCACACGTCATAACATGCTGACACAGACCTGTATATCTGACCAAATCCGGACTTCTCTGGGGGATTCTAATTTGTTTCCCAATTTCCCAGAAACGACTCATGTG